GTGGAGTTTAACTGTGTTTGTACATTCCACTATATTAAATTTTATGGTCATGTTCAGTGTTTCGTCTCACTGAAATAATAATCCGTCTCTTTGAGGAATCTGATCCACTAAGCTGCAACAGAACAGTTCCGAATAAGAGAAAGAAATCCATGTAAGAAGTACTGTATATACTCATGTATAAGTTTAGAAATTTTAGTCAAAAATGACTCAAAAGTCCTGGGTTCACTTATCCATGGGTCAGTGTAAGTACTGTACTTTAACTCTTATTTAAAAAGGAACCATCCCCTTCTTTGAGTAGAGTGGCAAAAGGTGAGAGCTTAGTCTGTCCCAGAAGAACCTAAAAGAAGCACTGATCCTCTCTACTCTCTCCACCACGGTGCTACCTCTCACCTTTTTGAATGCGTGGGTGGGAAAACTGGCCAGCGGCAGCTCTTCAACACTTCAATTCAAAGGAGCACCGAGAGGCTAGAGGGGTGCTTTTTTAAGGTTCTCCCAAGACACACTAACCTCTTGCCTTTCACCAGTCAGAGGGGGATAGTTCCTTTTTTGAAAAGAATTAATACAGTACCTTAACTCTTGCCTTTACATACTTTTTGATATGTGCGCATTTGCTAAACCCCTTCCATTCCTGGTCTCCTCCCCCACACAGCCATCATTTACTGTAGTTCCCTCCTTGTCCATCCAGCCTTTAGGGTGAGCACAAACAGTTATGCTTGCCAGAATTTTATAAGTTCTTCGGCATCATTTTCTTTTGCTTTGTCCTTTATGTCCTTTGTTATTTGTGCCTAAGCTTTACCCTTGACATATCCATGAGTCATATTAAAATCCATAATTTTGGCCCCCAAACCTGCCCTTGACTTATATGTGAGATCAATTTACACATGAGTATATACAGTATGCACTAGTTGGGAAAAATTTTGTCTTTTGGTGGATAGCAGCATTCATTAGTGGCTGAAGCTGTTAGAAGTGCATTAAGCATATAATCAACAAAGGTATTCTTGCCTTTCAATACAGTAATTTACTGTTCTAAAATAAGAGTCGACTTCTGTAAAGTTTATAGAATAGCTTCCTAGGAGTGATGCTTTGTTAACAGACAAGCATGTGACATAAAGGTCTAAGAAACTCTATTTCTGTAATATTAACATTAATTTAAAGGATGTCTAATCCATTTTCCTCAACAAGACAGGGTTCTCCTAATACTGGCCTAAAAAAATCACTTGCCTACCAGTCTCTATTTGTGCTACCTATTTCCTGCATCTCTATCAGTTTGATTGCTGTTTATAATAAGTGTTTGATTAGAAGAGAAATATCTACCTTACCAGCATTAGTACCCTTGTATCAATTTTTTCTCTTTCATATTGTATATGCTATTGTATGAGCCACTGTAGTGTAGTGGTTTGCGTGTTCAACTATGATTCTGGAGACCGGGTTCAATTCTCTGCTGGGCCATAAAACCCATTGGGTGATCTTGGGCAAGTCACATGCTCAGCCTCAGAGGAAGGCAATGGCAAACCACTGAATAAATCTTTCTAAGAAAACCCCATGATTGGATTGCCATAAGTCGGGAGTGACTTAAAGATATACAACACACACAGTTATACACTACATTTTGCTCCTTCAGGAATGATTTTTTTAAAAAAATCATTGATGTGCTTTGCTCCTTTTAGCACTGGACTTCCTGGAACAAATACTGACCTTTAGTCCCATGGATCGATTGACAGCAGAAGAAGCTTTGTCCCATCCTTACATGAGTATTTATTCTTTTCCAACTGATGAGCCCATTTCAAGTCATCCTTTCCACATTGAAGATGAGGTAGATGATATTTTGCTCATGGATGAAAGTCACAGCCACATCTATAACTGGGAAAGGTAAATAACTTTGAAATATTTTTGTGTACATTCTTTGGTAATGTAACACTAGTTGAAACACTAGTTGATGTCTTCATGTACCAAGATGCAAAATGTCATGAGATGGGAGAAGCATCTCTATGATGAACAGCATAATAGTTCTCATTTTTCTTAAACTAGATTATATTATAATTTTCCCTACCCTGATTAGTCTGTGTACAGTTTACTTATTTTTTAACATGAACTCAAACCACTCCTATTCTCACTAGGTTCAACAGAATTTTATGCCTATCTAAAAATAATTTTAGACATAAAGACATAAAATTCTGCTTGTATTAGGCATCCTGCTCTGCAGTGAGATAATGAGCATCCTTTTGTACTTGCCACTACTAGACATGTACTGAAAAAAGTAAATGCTCTGAAGTAGAGAAGGAGCATCTTTGTTAACATACTCATGTGCCTAACATGCTGGATTTTGTTAAATGAGAATGCCCCATTGAGGAAGCCTAAAGTAAGAAACTTAAACTATGTAGTTGCATGTAAAGTTGACTGAATGTCATGAAACCCATCATTATAAAAGTTCACATGAGGCCAGCAGATATTTGGAAAATGTTAATTTATATCTATACTCTAGATGTATAATTTGAAAAATTGTATAGATTATAAGTAAATCCATCAGCATTAAGAAACAGCTCTTTATAGGGTTGTTTGTCTTACATGCTTGTGCAAAGTGCCATGTTTCTGTTTCCTATGGCTAAAATGGCATATGACGCAGGGATCTCAGTTCATCTTAAATGAAGATCTAGTCCTTTCTCAGGTTGTGTGGAAAAGAATTGCAGCCTACTGTTTTTAAGCAGCCAGTGTGATGTAGTGGTTTGAGTGTTGGACTATGACTCTGGAGAGCAGGGTTTGGATCTCAGCTTAGCCATGTAAACCCACTGAGAGACCTTGGGCAAGTCATACTCTCGGCCTCAAAGGATGGCAATGGCAAGCACCTTCTGAAGAAACCTACCAAGAAAAACCCATGATAGGTTTTCCTTTGGGTTGCCATAAGTCAGAAATGACTTGAAGGTGTACAACAAATGAAAAGCCCCCAATTTAAAGCTTTCTAAGAAGTAATGGGGGTTGCAGACTGCCAGAAATAGTGCAAATTGAGTCCGCTTTTAGGGTTAGGGAATCATGGGAACTGTATTTTATTGTGGCACCAGAGCTCTCTGACAGAGAAGGCTCAATGTCTCAGAAAAAAAACAATCCCCATGATTCCCTAGCACTAACCCTAACCCTAAAAGTGGACTCAATTTGCACTATCTCTGCCAGTCTGCAACCCCCCTAAGAGAAGCTGTTAATCAAATAAAGAACTATTAAACTTGAATGTGTTTTGCCATTCATAATTGCTTGTCTTGACTTTTAACTATGTAAGCAACTGGATGCCAATATTTACTAACACAAGCCATTAATTATTGCAGATACCATGACAGTCAGTTTTCAGACCAGGAGTGGCCTGTTCATAACAACTTTGAAGTTGATGAAGTTCAACGTGATCCAAGGGCTCTTTCTGATGGGACTGATGAGGAAGAAGTACAAGTAGATCCTCGCAAATATTTGGATGGTGATCGTGAAAAGTATCTAGAGGATCCAGCTTTTGATACCCACTTCTCCACTGAGCCTTGCTGGCAATATCCAGATCACCATGAAAACAAATATTGTGATCTGGAATGTAGCCACACTTGTAATTACAAAATGAGATCCTCTTCATACCTAGATAATTTAGTGTGGAGAGATAGTGAAGTGAACCATTACTATGAGCCCAAGCTTATAATAGATCTTTCTAACTGGAAGGAGCAAACTAAAGAGAAGTCAGACAAAAAAGGCAAGTCAAAATGTGAAAGGAATGGATTGGTGAAAGCTCAGATAGCTCTTGAGGAAGCCTCACAGCAGCTTGCAGAAAAGGAGAAGAATCAAGGGTTTGACTTTGATTCATTTATAGCAGGAACTATTCAGCTTAGTTTGCAGCATGAGTCAACTGATATTGATAAATTAAATGATTTGAATAGCTCAGTGTCCCACCTAGAATCAAAAGGCATATCAAAATCAGTAAGCAGAGAGAAACAAGAGAAAGGAATGGCTAATTTGGCCCAGTTGGAAGCTTTGTACCAAAATTCGTGGGATAGCCAACTTGTAAGTGGTGGGGAAGAGTGCTTTCTCATAGACCAGTTTTGTTGTGAAGTAAGGAAAGATGAGCAGATGGAGAAGGAGAATCCATACACCAGTTACTTGGATAGGTTTTTTAGCAAGAAGGAAGATACTGAAATGCTAGAAACTGAGCCAGTAGAAGATGGGAAACCTGGGGAGAAAGAAAGAGAGGGAAACTTTTTAAGTAATAGTGGGGAATTTCTCTTTAACAAGCACCTCGAAGCTATAAGTATTCCTCAGTTTCACAGCCCTGTTGGCTCACCACTTAAATCAATACAGGCCACACTAACGCCTTCTGCTATGAAATCATCTCCTCAGATTCCTCATAAAACATACAGCAGCATTCTGAAACACCTAAACTAAACAGCAGACATTTCTTTTTTGTATTCATGAAATGTGTGTTCTTTTTTATTGTAAGTAATTTTTTTTTTACTTGAAATCAAATGATGTAACTTTGGTATGGATTTCTTTAGTTTCCTGTTTACCATTGTTTTTACAATCCAGAATTACTTTCTTTACATGACAATTTTTTAAAACTGGCATGTCATTTGCACACAGAGGTAAAGAACAGAGCAAAACAATGCAAATTGCCGGAGAAAACAGAAAAAGAAAATGCACTAAACCAGGTAGAAACACTCTTAGTTTAAACAGTTCATGCTTTGCAGAGGAAAAATACGCATTTTGCCTTGAAAATTACACAGTGAGACTATACATACTTGCATGAAAAGATCTATTTTTTCCCTGAAACATTTTTCATTCATAGGTATTTTAGAATTTTTCATACTGTACACATTTCTTAGACACATGATACCAGCAGCAACTGTAAATGAATGCAGAATTTGGTACGCATGTGTTATCTACCTCAAGGTAACAGCAGTATGTGGCAAAACATTAACCACCCTTAGTGCTTTTCATAATGCACTTCTATTTAGCCAGCATTATTGTAGTAGGTGGTATTATGGAGAAAATCATTCAATATTTATAAATATTCTGGTATGCATTCTTTATAGTGGAAATGTTAATATGCAGCGTTTTTATTTATTTTAGCAAATTATATTTTCTGTAATGATAGAAAATCAATTTTTTTTTAACTTGCTTTACAGATAAAGTTCTTGTTAGCACTATGGTTTATTGCCTACATAGCTGAAATAAGAGATGAAATAACATCCCCTTATTCTGAGGTGATCCATATGAGTTTTTGTAAAAGAGATTTCACTTCAAGTAAGGCACTCACTGTGTATAGGAATTTGCAATTTGGAGGTGCTTGATCTCTACAAAGAAATTAGGAATTGTTTTATTATAAAATGCTCCTAGAAGTCTTACTTGTGTTAATTTTTTTTAAAAAAACCAATTTTTGTAATGTTAGTTGTGTGCATGGAAAGAATTAAGGTACAACATTGCTGTAGGTTAAAAGTTCTATATGGTCAGGCATTTTGTTTTTACTGTATGTTTTTACTGAATGATGCCCTTGTCTCATCCCCAAAGCAAGCATGAGTCTAATTAGGTTAAATGTAGCATGTTAGCATCTTGGTCTTCTGACAGTTTGTTTTGCCTCCTGGGTTTTCTGTTTTGTTTTGGGTTTTTTGGGAAACTATGTATCATTGGCTCCCCTGTTTTAAAGAAAGAAATAAAACATGGCCAGATAAAATTATTCTTTTGTGTTTTGAGATGTAAATGTCCCAGCTTCCAGTAAGTATTCCAAAGACTCAGCAGCATCTATACACACAGGTTCCACACATTTTTGAAGTCTTTGAGGGTAGTATTGTGGCTGTTGATGGGTGAGGAATTAAAATGGAAACATTGAGATTGTATTTGTTACTCCAGAGACAAATTATGCAGTAAAATTTCAAAATTATCTAAAGGAGGAGGTAGTTCTAGCCTTGCTGCCAGTGAATGTTACACCCTAATCCACAGAACATCTGGCCCATCAAGCAGGCTGTGGCTTCTGGGTGCAGAAATCCAAAACATCTGGAAAGACTAATGAATTGGGGTGAACATGTGATCATTATTTCAAAGAAATATCTCCTTCAGTTTAAAAAAGTTCTGCATATCACAGTGACCTGTGTTCATTGGCTCTTAGTTATGCTCAAAATCTGCACAATTTGTGTGGATCCAGTCCCAGGGCTTCAGCACAGGATTGTGCTAGGGAACACAGTATATAAAATGAATTGATTGTAATGTTCTTTAAAATGATTAATGCTTGCCTAAAATGTATCCATTCTGAGTTTCTTTTTATATTTGTGTCTGAAGAAAATAGGAAAGGCAGATTTATTTATTTTTTAGCCCAAGCTGTTAACTATATTTACGGATTTGTTCCAGTTAATCCTAAAGTACTTGCCCCATACTATGAGAACCCATATGATGTTTTTTTGGCTGTGAGATGTGAAGTGTCTCATTTTCTGGGCCTT